CTGCTAAATCTTAGATATATATATATATATCATTTGAAATTTTGATATCACAAGAAAATATAACTATTAATAATATTTTAAAATAAAAATGCATAAATGCACCTTTTTATATTAGGTTGCACAATCAAATTTACTACGGGTCAAATTTTTAAGCTTCCAAAGGTTCTGAACAAAAGCACTTGCCAAAAGAAGGATCTCATGAAACCAAAATGGCGATACTGGAAGCAAGAGAGTTCGAATAAAAATAGTTGGCCAGCGAGGGCGAAAGTCAGGTAGGGACGCTAGAAGCACGGGAGTACGATCTGTCGGATGTCCCATCAATTAGGCATCGATCAACAAACCTGACTAAATTTTATGAATGAATCAACTAAATAGAATCAATAAATATAATAATTATTTTTTAATTATTTTAACATCCTACAAATAATATTAAATATAATAAAAATTCTAACCTACTGGCCTAATTCTTTTCTTTTTCTTTTATTTCCATGTCTTTAATACCTATTTTTACAAATATTAAATTAAAGTCGTTATATATATAAATACATAAATTTTGTGGTATGTAGAGGTAAAATTTCCATTAAAAATTATGCACTATTTCATAATATAAGAATATGTTCCTACAATTTCTTCATGTAAAGCTTACCTACCCGCATCTAATCATCCCTTGGCGATACCCAATTCATAATCGTAAAATCTCCTTGGTGGGCCACCTTCTTCAAAAGCCACCCAAAGCTCACCCACTCTGAAACGACGCAGCGTCCGCTATGTGGGTGAAATCGAGGGTTAAAAATGGAACAGCGGACCACAAAATTCGTGTCGCCTGGCAGTCTATCCTAATCTATTTACCTTTGTACTCTCTACCGCGTACGCCATCAGCAGCTTTCACAGTCAACCGCGTATTCCAGCAGACCGAAGAAAGGAAGAAGTAGACAAGAAACCCTCGATTTCTATCTCTCATCTCGAAACCCTAGACCTGCCCTCCCCTGTAATGGAGTATATGCTCTCCAATGTTCTCCTTCGTTAACAAGAAGAAGAGCAACCACCGGCGTGAGGGGAAGAAGGCGGAGGCGCGGAGACCGAGGTTGGAGAGGCGGAACGCTGCGAAGAATATCGATTACGAGGCCTCCTGTACGTCGTCGGACGAGTCGACTTCGTTGCAGACGTCGCGCTCACTTGATTTCTCGCCGGTGGGTTATTCGAGTCAGAGTAGCTTCCGCATCGGAGGAAGCATAGAGGGAGAGGTCGAGCATCTCTACCAGAGCCTTGGATTATCCGGTCCTGAGGACTTCGCCATCCCCATTGCAGCGTGGGAGGCATCTCTCAAGTTTCGATCATCGTCTGATGTTCTCCCTCGCTCCCGATTTCTAGAGTCGGAGGATCCATGTGTAACAGCCGATCTCGCGGAGGAGGCTAACGGTGAGGCGGCTCTGCTTGGCGAGGATGCTGGAGTTAGACCACCTGGGGTGGAGGAAGCGGTGGTCCTTGAGGAAATTAGTGTTGGAGATGAGGGATCTGCGGAGGATTTGTGGTCGTCGGTACGGATAAATAGCTGCGGAGATGGGGGAATTACGGGAAATCGCTTGCCAGTTCTTCCCGCTCCTACTCCTGCAGTGTCAGTTCCTTCTTCTGCGCCAGCTATCTCGGTTCGTTTGCCCACGATTTCAACAACACTTCCTGTTGCGGTGGTGATTAAAGAGGAAATTGAGGATAGACACGCGGTTGAGATAGATGTGCTCCTGGAAGAAAATAGGATTAGAGATGAGGAAGTAGCGGGGATCCAGCGGTCGACTGTAGGCAGAAGTGGTCGCGTCGATGTAGGAATTAAGGGTACTCGACCCCCGGTTCTCACTCCCCCGCCTCTAGTCTCGGTTCTATCCACTTCTCCTGTAAGGTCGCTTCTTCCCCCGCCGCCTTCGATGGCACTTCCTGTTCACGACAGAGCAAGTTCGACTTGGGACATAGTGAAATCTTTTGCCCCGTCCGATGAGAACGAGATTAGCGATAGGAGGAGATCGTTCGGCTTAGATGTGCAGGAAGATGAGGAGGATGATGAAAGTGTTGGAAGTGGAGAAGCTGGTGAAGCTTTGGAGAGTACTGTGATGGAAGGTGAAACATCGGACGGTACTGGGTCTTTCTCAACGTCTATTGATGATGATTCCTCAAGCACTACAACTGAATTTGTCATCTCACCAAATGGGCGGTTCAAGAAAAAAATTAGATCTTGGATGCGCGGCCATCTTCTGGGTAGTGGTTCTTTTGGAACCGTGTATGAAGGGATCAGCGAGTAAGTTGGTTTTCATAGTTTTGCTCTTTCTTCAGATTTTATTTGAAGGGGCTGTTTGTTAAACTTCAAGCAGGACATTCCATATTTATATTGAAAAAAAAATGAATATAGGCATTCAGAACAAGTTAAGATGCTTGTTTTTAGACTGCAAATTTCAAATTTCTTAAGAGGGCAAATACTTGAACTGAAGTAGTAAAAATGATTTTTTTTGTTGTCATGTTTCTCTACATGATATTTGCCAGAGAAAGTAGACTTTTGCTGGTGCATCGCTAGAATTTCAACTGCTAAATCTTAGTTAGTAATTTGTGAGTTTTCTTTATTGGTGACTGATAGATACTTTGCTCTTTTCGTGTTGTAAGTGATGGTACAGCCGTGCATGTGGATGATAGTTTTGAATAGAGTTTTTATTTTTTTATTATCCAGGCAAGTGAGAAGTCCAATAAGCTGAATAGAGTAGTTTTCTCCACACTTGTTTTTTTTTTTGAATTTAATCCACAGTAAGATATGTAAAATTTCTTGCCATTTTAATATGCTGTTCTTACTTTTAGTCAGATCTTTTCCATTTACAATGGATTGATAGATCTTTCGAACGTGTAAAATTGTTAATTTTATATATACCAACTTTTTTTTTATGCATCATCTAGGTTATATATAGTAAGTCATATTCGTTCTCTTAGCTATCATGCATCTGTGTTAAAATGATATTTATTTATTTATTTTTTTAACCTACTAGGATCTTTATTGGCCTCCTACTTAAGGCCTATCCTTGGCGCTTTTCAGAACTTCTCTAATAAATATTATTTTACTCGAAAGAATTAGCTTTTGTTTTCCTTTGAACTTACATAATGTGTTTATATATGCAGTGATGGTACATTTATTGCTGTTAAAGAGGTGTCTTTGCTGGATAAAGGAAGCAATGCTCAACAATGCATTCTTCAGCTCGAACAAGTGAGATAGTTCCATACTTTTTTCCTTATTCTTCTTTACCGTTTCACCTTTACTAGCTTGAAAGCTACGAACTTCACCTGCCTCTTCAGATCAAAACTCGTGCTTTCTTCTCACTTTTTTTTCTTAAATGTTTCTTCTTAGGAAATTGCACTTTTGAGCCAGTTTGAGCATGAAAACATTGTCCAGTATTATGGAACTGATAAGGTATCTTTACATGGCTATTTATATTTTCTTAACACCTTGCTCTTCATCTATTTTTATTCCCGTCTTTAAGCGTTCATTTTGTTTCTGCTTCTATGATGGAGTTTGTTGGGGATTTCAATTTTAATGCTCCCATTTGTGCTTATTTGTTATTTTTTGGTTGAGAACAATGTCAGCTTAGTCTTTCCACTGTTTGATGGATAGTTTTGTCCTTTTTTGTATTTTTTTTAATTGGATATTCATTATGGATGAGATATTTTCTCATCTTGTTACTGTAATATTATTTCTCTGCCAGATTGTTTCCCAGTCTTTTCTAGAGATGAGCAAAAAGATATTCAGATCACTTGAAATTCGTCTTCTTATCTATTGAAGCTGATATGTAACTGTCTTTTCAAGGAATTGCTCATAAAAGTCTGACCTTTCTCTGAGTTAACTGGGAGAAATAGATATTTTTTGTGGAAAGTGGCCCTTGAATATTACATGAATGAAACATGATCCTAGAAACTTTGTGCGAATTCTATAAAATGGCTATATTGTATGAATTTGAGTGATAACTTATTTATTGCAGTGATAGCTTATTTTTCCTTCCCTGATTTTCTTTCATCTACATTCTTTTGCATCCACAACTTCAGCTGCTGCATATAAAAGTGTCTTTTTTTTTTTAATAACCACGAGTGCTTGTTTATAATTTTGTTTCTAATTAATGAATTTATACGGTAAATTTTCCTTTTGCAGGAAGAATCAAAGCTTTACATCTTCCTTGAGCTTGTAACACAAGGTTCAATAGCATCTCTTTATCAAAAGTATCATTTGCGCGATACCCAAGTCTCATCGTATACAAGACAAATTCTCAATGGCTTGAATTATCTTCATGAACGTGATGTGGTGCACAGGTGAAGAAAATGCTTTACTATTTTATATAGTCTTGTGAATTTTCCTTTTCTTTCTTGTTAAATTTGATAATTCATTCCACATATTGGAGCATTATGGTTGCTAATAATGTTTTATACTTTTAGTGAGTAATGTAACTTATAATTGTGGTATCTGTGAGAAAAGATTGAGGCATACTTTATCAAAGCATGATTCTCTTGTTTGTTTCTTGTTTTTAAGTCAAACTAGTTGAAGACTAACTTTAGATTTCTGTTCTTGTCTTGTTTTCTCCATCTCTACTAGATACATATTTTCATATAGAACTTATGTATTAGCATGAAGAATTCTAATTTTTATGCCAATATAAAATATAACAACTATTTGCATCATCATCTGTGCTATTAACTCAATGTGTCCATTATTTTTTGCCCGGTCTCTATTACATGGAGGCACCACCATTATCTGCCGGCTATCTTCACCTACTCCGTTTCTATAAAATGCCATGAAAGTACTTATCTTTGTGGCTGGCCTAGGTGAGGGAGGTTGGAATTTGGAGAGTCGAAAATAGGGGGCAATGCGAGACTTGGGAGTAGGGTGGCTCAAATCTAGTTCTTAGGACTATTAATAGTTTTTAAATCTGATGTTTGATTAAGAATCTTGATTATGTGATCCCATTAAAATGGAGTATCTGCTAATTTTTGTTGAACTGCTTAGGCTGGCTAATCCAAATGAATTTTTGATAGACATTAGATGCAAAATGGATGCTAAACTTTTCTTATTAGAACATTACATGATCTATACACTCTTGAAAATTCCTGAAATTTTTTCCATTTTTTAGAGGCATTTACATACTAACGACACAGTTTTTATGTATTCGCATATTTAACACCTAAAGTTTATATTCACATTCATAGCACTCAAATCTTTAACATCACATAAAAAATATCACATTTATTTTTAAAGTTAAATGCACCTTTTTATTCATTAGTTTATAGCACCCATGTGTTATAAATGTAAATATCAAATTTTAGGTGATGCATGTAAATCCATAAGAATTATGTGGAATGTATGTAAATTTCTCTTTTCTTAATACTATCTTTCAAAAGTATATTGTTGTGGTTGAAGTTCAGTTTTGATAATCTGCCACGATTTTTTGGGTTGTCTTTGTTTTTGGCCTATGGAAGCCAGTCTTTGTCAACAATTAATTACCCAATCCACTTTTTCCTTTCAGAGATATCAAATGTGCCAATATATTGGTTCATGCAAATGGTTCTATCAAACTTGCAGATTTTGGATTAGCGAAGGAGGTATGATTTCCTTTACATTTTGTTTTAGAAGAATTTTGTTTATTTATTACAATTTTTTTTATCTTCCATTGCTATTTTCTATTTCAGATTTCGAAATTCAATGATCTGAAATCTTGCAAAGGAAGTGTGTACTGGATGGCCCCAGAGGTCAGACTCTCTATTGCATACGTTCATAATGTTTATTATACCATAGAACGTTAAAATTGTATTTTTAGCTAATTTAAATTGTAAAATCCATTTCATTTTATTCTGGATACTATTTTTTTAAAATATGCTAAATAATTTTGTATGCTTCAACATTCTATTTTGTTTACTGCATATTTTAAGAAGGCCAAACTATTTTGAAAAACAGAAGCAGCTTTGGATCAGCTTATGCTGAAATCTATCAGCTTTATAGGATTTAGGGGCATTTACATGCATATCACCCAGTTTTTATATATTAACATATCTAATATCTAAACTTTATCTTTTACATTTATACCACCTAAATCTTTCATTTCACATAAAAAATATTATCATTTTAACTTTACAAAAAGTGAAATGCACCTTTTTGTGCACAGGTAAAGTGGTATATATATGTAAATATTGAACTTTAGGTGTTAGATATGTAAATACATAGGGATTGAGTGGTATGTATATAAATTTTCCTAAGATTTAACTCAATAATTAATTAAAACTTCAAATCTGCGTTATTTAATCAAGCTATTCCATTGTCTCTCTGTAGGTTGTCCATCCAAGGAAGACATATGGGCGCGCAGCTGATATATGGAGCCTGGGCTGCACAGTTCTTGAGATGCTGACTCGTCAGATTCCTTATCCGAATGTCGAGTGGGTGAGTGATTCAAACTTTGATGTCCAAGTAATTGTAACATATTTCTGTTTGCTATATCAATTCTTGATTTTTATATGAAATAAAAATAAAAAGTGAAATTTACGTACATACAACACAATTGTTTTTTATTCCTTATCTAAAACCAAATGTTTGACACTCTTATATTTATAGCACTCTATATTGCACTTTTAAAAAAGTAGTGTTGGTGGTATTTTTGATGTGATGTTAAACATTTGAGTCGTATGCATGTAAATATGAATGTTTAGGTGCTAGGTATATAAGTAGATTAGAATTACGTGGAATGTATGTGAATGTTCCAAATAGGAAAAAGGAAATTTACATGTATTTAAATATCCCTTCAGTTTTTTATTTACGTTTATAACACTTTGGTGGCATAAACCATGTATAAAAAGGCGTATGTCATTTAAAAAAAGTTAATGATAGTAGTTTTTTTGTATGTTATATTTAAGGTTTTGTGTTATGTACGTAAATATAAGACTTTAGTTGCTAGATATGTAAATACATAAGAATTGTGTATGGTATCTAGGTAAATGCCCCATAAAAAAGAGAAGATTTGCCTACATACCACTTTATTTCTATGTATTTACGTATATCACAAACATACCTCAATCTTTTACATATTACCTATGCATGAAAGGTGTATTTCACGTCTTAAAAGCTAAAATAGTGATTTTTTTTTTCTTTTAATTTGAAATGAAAGATTTGAGTGGTATAAACGGAAAAAGTAAAGTTTAGGCTTTAGATATGTAAATGCTGAACAATTGGTTGGTGAAAATGATGTTCTAATAATTTGGTGCAGACTTTCCTACTAATAATGATTTTCCTCTTTTGCAGCAACATGCGTTCTACAGAATTGGGCGTGGCGATCAACCCCCAATACCCAATCACCTATCAAGCGATGCGCAGGATTTTATCAGGAAGTGCGTGCAGGTGGATCCAAATGCAAGACCCACTGCTGCTCAGCTGTTAGAGCACCCCTTTATCACCAGGAGGCCACTTGAAACCTATTAATTATTAGCTCCTTGGTATGAGGTAAATAATGCTTCTTTTATCAAATAATCAATCATATTTTTCGGCATAATAATCATTGACATGCATAGGAACTGAATTTTTATGTATTTACATATCTAACACCTAAACTTTATTTTTTACTTGTGCATGAAAGAAGTGTAGTTCACTTTAAAAAAGTTAGAACTGAGGCATTTTTATGCTCATGCTGCCTTACTTTCAATTTTAAGAAGTTAAAATAGTGATATTTTTTATGTGAGGTGAAATATTCTGGTGGTATTAATGAAAAAAAATTGGGGCATTTACGTATTAACATATCAGCCACCCAAAATTTAATTTTTACTAAAATATTCTGAATTAAAAGCTGTTCTTTTTCTTTTTTTTCTTTTTTTTGAACAATTTTTTCAGCGGATTTATTGATTCGGGGAGAGGACCGTATCTCACCCAGTAGACACGTGGGAACGTTTACCTTTGGGGAGCATTCATACGTGTGGCCTGATTTAGCCAGTAGTCGATCAAGCTGAACGATATGAATTGGGATCTGCATAAAAAATAGCAGATGGTATTGGGATGGTATTGAATGAGGTTAGTGAGTGTATATTGTAATAATATCTTGTGCTTTCTCTTTTTCTCCCATTAACTATTTGTTTCTACGCAAATTTGTAGGTTATTTGTAGTAATCTTAGAGCTTTAAGTATTATTAATCACTAATATTGGTGATTCCTTTTTTTTTCTTTTTTTTTTCTTTTTGGATTATTCATGCAGCTATGATTGTGTAAATCCTCCCAAATATGAAACATTTTGCAATAAATGAGTCATGTTAAGGGCTCACCTTAGTTGCTTGAAATAGATAATTTGTTTTTTTTTTAAATTCTATTAATTGTTAGATTTAAATCATTTGGCTGAATGGTACAAATAATTCATTGTTGTTGATATTAGAAGTTAATAATAATGATTTTTTTAATGTGATGATAGATTTGAGTGTTCATAATATAAATATTAAAATTTTAAAGCTATGGATAGAACTCTGATATCTCTGTAAATGCTCTCAATTTAAATGGGTTGTTAAATAAAATCATATTTAAGCTGAATTAACTTAATAGTTTAATATTTATAATTGGACTAAATAGAGTTAAAATATTGCATTGAATTAAAATTGAAAGTATAAAAAATGAATAACGCATATGCCTCTCCAGGATTCCAAGTGCAAGTCTCTAATGAAAGGCTTGTGAAATTGTTTGTAGTTTTTTGAAATCCAAGTTCAATGCATGTTTTAAACAGCAATCATTAATTTCTACGGTCTAACCTATTTGTCATTAAAGATCAAAATGAAAAAAAATAAATAGAAGCTCTTATTTTATGTGAGCAGTTCTGCAGTTTATAAAGGTTGTTTCACAAGTAAAAATATTAGGTGCATAGTATATATATATATATAACAATTTTTTTTACCCTATCCCAGTCATCCTCCATAGGTTAAAGTGCTCTTAAAATATGAAGTTCTGCGTACATGACACTAAATGATTATGTAATTACATATCTTGCACATAAAACTTTACTTTTAATTACATGAAAAAGGTGTATTTTACCTTATAAAATTAAAATGATGGTACTTCTTATAGGACCAGAAAAAAATATATTTTTTTTTCATAAAAAAAAAAATCAAATAGTTCAAAAAAGATTCTACATATTGTAGCTCTAGGATGAATTTTACATAGTAATGATCATTTTGAGGAAGCAGTGTTGTACCACACCGCAATTGTCTGTTTAGATAAACTATGTTTTGTAAGTTTTTTTAAAATGTTATTGCTGAAATCTGCATTTTATCATCAATTCCAACTAAGTGTGGAGACAGCTTTCTAACTGCAGTGACTATTTCAGTATATATATAATAACCACTGCACTTTTTGAATATCAAAATTGTTTTTTAACAACTTCACAGTTGATTTTTAATAAGCTTCAGCGGCCCCAAATAGATCCTAAATTGCATCACAGCACGAGAGAGCATCCATTCATTTGGAGTCATTTAGCAGTGCTTTTTCAAATAGTGGCAAGCGTCATCTCATCAGATGATAATATTCACTCGGATACATAAAACCAGCCGACTATTCAGAGATCACATAACATAAAAATAACAAAGGCCATTAATAAAAATATAAATAAATAAATAAAATTGAAACAAATAATATGAAAACAGCAAGCACCTATAAAAACAAAGACAAAAAAGACGAGCAAAATAACATACCTAATAACTATTTTTCAAGTTAAACTCCCAACCAAGCCATAAAAAAAATATCAAAAAAATATTTTAAAAAAAACAATGAGAGAACGCCTTGTATTTAGAAAATTAATAATAATAAAGAAAAGAAAAAAAAACGGTAAGAGGACAGAAAGCACTGCATCTTATTCTGCATTTTTCACATTGGATTCTGAAGCAAGAGGGGAAAAATAAAACCAACTCCCTCACTGTTTAGAACAAGTAAGCTCGCCACCACTCCTCTCAAAAACTCTTCCTTCCAACATTCCCCCCTCCCCTCTATCTTAACCAGCAAAAAAATAACCTTTCCCAATCCACCAAAACTACGGAACTCTTATAACCTTTCAGCAAAATGAAGTTTCCACTTGTGTATCAGATGATGAACTCAGCTTGGATGAACAGCCAGCTATCTTCAGCTTTGAAACTGGAATCTTCTTTTCATACTACAAATACATAAATTAAGACAATCTCAGTTTCCACTCCAACAAAAACAAACGAAAAAAGGAAGAGATACACACATACCAATTAAATTTCAATGCACTTACATATATAACAGTTAAAACTTCAATTTTTAACAATACATAAAAACGTGCATTCGCTTTTCCAAAGTTAAAATGGTGCTATCTTCAGTGTGATAGGAAACAATTGGATGGTATAAATGTAAAAAAAAGTAAACTTTAGATGTTAGATAGGAAAATACATAAGAATTGGATAAATGCCACATGAGAAAAACATAAAAAAAAACTAAAAACAATCATTTCAATACAACAGTATTACCTCAGAAAGAAAAGATTCGATCTCTTCCGGCGTCAGAGCTTCTTCCCCGGCATTCTCCTCCCATCCAAGGGAACGAAGAAAGGCGGCTTCCTCCTCGTCCGGAGCTAACCTCTCAGGCTCTTCAACAGCTTTAAAACTTCCATTATCCACAGAATGCTGTAAAGTGGAAAGATCCTTCTCCTTATCAGAGATAGCACCTACCGCAACCACCTCATTCAACTTTTCCAAGCTGGGGGATGCAAATACTTTACACCCTGGATCCTGCTTTGTATTTTCTTGGCTAGAAGACGATTTCTTCCGGAGCGAATTGAAGAAGTCGTTACGATTCTGAGCCTGATAAGGCAGCTTCTTTTCGCCAAAGGAGCTTGAACTTGGGGCGCCAGTTTTCCCGTTAACATTAAGCTTTGAGTAGGGTTGACCTGAAAGATCTAAAATGGCAGCAGGAGGAATACCACCACCGGGTGAGGCAACAACTCTGCTGCCATTTCTTGGATGTAAGTTATCCTTGTCAGTAAGAGAAAGTCCATTCTTTTCCCGATTTAGGACGTGAAAATTCCCGGGTTGGGATGTCTTTGGAGCATCGGATTTAATATTAGAGCGGACAGCATGATTAAAGAGCTGGGACGAAAGGTGCTGACCAACCTTAACAGTGTTGTATTCAGCCATCTTTGATCCTTTTGTCTTTGATTTTTCAGATAGGTTGACACTCTTGAGTAAAATAAGCAATAAGGACCATTGAAACTAAAACATATACATATACATATATATGAACATCAGTTTTAGTTGATGATGCGAGAAAATAGTCATAGCTCAAGTAACCGCAGATAATGTACCAAAAAACAATGCAAAAAAAAAAAAAAGAAGAGAAGAAAACTAACATACAAGGATTCCCCCCCCCCCCCCCCCCCAAAAAAAAGGAAAAGGGTGCTCTGCAAGCTAGGTTTTTCTTTTCCTTTGACTGCAATGCTTCGTGCTGCCTGCACAGTTCTGACTGAATATTTGCTGTGTTTCCCGCACTTGCACATCCTATCAGTTTTCTTTTTGACTTGATCATCAGTTTAGGTTGTTCGCCCTAAGAAAATGCTGTCTTGAGAGGATAGAGACTACACTTACCATGAACAGGTTCCAAGAATAGTTTTAGTACTCTAGAAAAATTAAAGAACTGAACTTAGAGAGCACATGAGTGATTGGGTTTAGTCCGACATAGAAAAGGTTAAAATTTTGTTTTAGTAAGATTAAGCAATTCATACGATGTGGCTCTTAGGAGGACTTTACAATGGTTGAGAAAAGTTTAAAAAATATGTAACCGTGATGGGTACTGTGTTTGACCACTTTTAGTATATGATAATTAATGATGATAGAATAAAATCCGTTTAAGTGAAGATGGAGATGATTAATGCATACAAGCATCAGGTTTAGTCTCAAATTGGATGGGTGAAAAATATGCTAGCCTGGAAATAGCAAATAAATGGCGCTCACCTATAAGCATATATTGCTTTTGGTCGTAAATAAGTTTAAGCATCGACATATTAAGCTCAACTTTGATCCCTATAATTCCACAATTCCTAACAATGATGTACCACAATGTAACAAATTTTTGTGAATACAGTTCTAACAGTTGATAAAAATCAGTTAGAAAAGCTCCCTCAAACATGATACCTCCATCTTGAAGTCGGACTGAGTATGCTTTCCTTCTTTAACTTTATTAAAAAGGGGAAAAAGAACAAAAAGCATAAAGTAAAATCTCAAACCTCACCCCACTCCCACCACAATCCATACAACGTCAAAATAGAAAACCTGACCAGTATCCAACCTTGTAATGATATAACCACGACCCCACACAGCAATGCACAACCTTGAGCAGTTCAGAAAATCACAAGAAGCACAGGCTATGGTAAAAAAAAATAGAAAAACTGCTCGATATTATTAGTTCTTGGATAATGGCAGAGAATAGTGGTCATGAGATAAAATTTTAGAAAGTCAACGTGCAACATAAATAACACCATTCATTTATACTGCCAGGTATGAGTAGACTGAAGTTGCGCCCATTTTATATGGGAAATTTGACTTTGTATGCCTCATAGCAGAAATTGGCCAAATATGCTTATTAATTGTTTCTCATGAAAAAAAAAAAATCAAAAACTCATTTTAGATCAAAAACTCATTTTAGACCGAAAATCAAAAACTCATTTTAGACCGAAATAACCTTCCTATTCTTATATCACCATTGTATGAGAAAAATGATGTCCCGCCCTTAAACATCCCAGCTTTCTCCATTGATGTGATCATCTTCATTCGAAATTTCTTCCCTCAAGAGGGTAAAATAATCAGACCAATGAAATTTGAGATTTCATTGTTCATAGATTCAGCCATTCTGTTGGAATTTTAATGCAAACCAAGATAAAATAGCAAAGAAGGCTTCAAACAATATCAGAACAAGCGTTCAAACTACGTTTAGATCTTATTTACATCACGATCAAACATACTTAAAGATTATAGAACTTTATTTGAACCATGCTGTTCAAAAAAGTTCAAAAATGGCTCATACACTTGTTCGAACTATATAGTTCAAACACATGTTCTAACAACATTGAAGCTATATGCTAATCATTTATTTTTTGAAGGTGAATCAAGTATCAGCATACTTGTATTATATTGAAGAAAATGAATATAAGACAACCAATAAAAAAGCAAAACAAAAGGTTGATGATACAGAAAAATATTTCCCTTAAAGATCTCATAGATCTTACAAACAAAGTGATAGAGATTTATATTAACAAATTTAGTTTGAAATTTGAGGTGATGTACCACTTTGGTAGACACAATCAACAATTTCAATTACTCCAACTTATCTACTAACATAGCAACATCTATTCACCATTGATCTTTCATATGTATGTCTATTGCTCTCTAAAAATATTGAACTATGTATTTTTATGAAATGAAGATGCTATAAAATCAATCAAGTCAAAATCTCTAGTTGGAATTAGAAGTCATGAATCATAACATACATGCATTTTAAATGTTATAGATCGAAATACCACCAAGAAGCATGGCTCAATGAATAATTAATAAAATAAAAGCTTGTCCTATCTTAAACTAAATTGAAGCAAAATAAAATCATATTAGACCTTAAAATTGGTGTAAAACATTGATTTATCCAAGGAGAAGACTTGGTGGTGTCGTGAGCAAGAAGACACTTATGTAGGAAGGTCCCGCAAAGCTCATTTCAAAAGTCATCTTATTTGGTTATGCTACACAAAAATTTTAGGGACATTGTTGATCAACAGTGAAAGAGGTATTAAGTATGTATTTGAGTGTGTGTCCAAGATTTTAAGAGTATATGTCGTCTAATGTCAAGTGTCGATGAAATAAATTTTAGTCCATTACGTAGAGTTACTTTGCTCATGATAATGACCCAAGTTACTACAACTCATATTTACCCTACAATATTTGCAGTGGCTGACAAAAAAATGAGCCATGGATACATTCATAATGGAAATTTTGAATGCGCCTCTAATAGGCAACAATATCACTAATGCTTTCCCCATTGCTTTTTGTTGTAAATATCACCAGGAAGTTAAAAAAATAATAGTTATTATGAGAAATACACTTGACCTTGGCTTACAAAACAGTGGACTTATAATGAGACTTTGATAAAATATGTGTTATGAACCCAGCCCAGCCATAGCACTTATCTAGAAAATGAAGTTGACTTTTGAACAGTAGAATCATGCTTTATTTCCAAAAAAAACTAATGCAACTAATATCAAAGAGCTTCAACACTCCAAAAGTGAATGATCCTATTCAGTTATTATTGAAATTTTTCTAGTAGCATAATGAAAATATGATAGGTTGATAAACAAAACAGACAGTGAATACAAAGATTTTTTTAAAGAAGATAAAATAAGAAATAAGAAATCATACGGAAAGCCGCGGGCTTGATTGTGAACTGCATGTCCATGAAAATGACATTAATAATAATGCTGATTTGTGAAAGATAACAGTACAAGCTAAAAATTTGATGTTATGGATCTTTCATGTGAACTTACATTGGCACCATATCGGATCCAATGCTTTGATTATTATAGTTTATGTTCAAAGTTTTATAAGCAAAAAGCAGGATGAGCCCCATACGCCTAAAATATATATCCAATAGAAAAAAGCACAAAAAAGTTTCCGGATTAAATTAGCAGATTGTTTTGTTCCAACCCCTATTGTTAAAGCCAAAGGGCGACTGTCCAAAAAAAAAAATAGAAGGCCAATAAAGGAGGAAAGACTGTTCTAACCGCCTCCGGTAAAACAGATTTTTAGTTGTCTCCTATGCATTTTGAAGTATTTGTTATCTCTTTTATGAGAAGAGAAGTAGCACAAACTCGCATGTGAATCAGAATTGTATACAAGAATGGTAGGATGAGAAAACAAACACTTCTTCCTCGTGAATCCTATCATTTTTCTAATCAAGCATTTTCATGTTAAGTTGATAGAAATTTAAACATGCATAGGGGATAACCAAAAAAAGAATACAGTTTTTCCCAAGTATAGTATCATTTTCTAATCATTCAAATTCACCACATTTTCGCTAAAGGTGCTGCTCAAGCCAGTATCCAATCTTCGTTGCACATTATTCTGAAATTAAGAAAAAATCAACCTAGCATTCTAGCAATCCTAGAGAACGAGGAATTAAAAATTTCAAACAGTTTAATTGCCCTGAATAATCATCATCATTTCCAAGAAAAGTATCCTCATCATTGCAAATTGACAATTAGTCAGATAATGTCTCACTGAACCTAAATTGTCATAACTCTAAATTATTTCCATTATATTGTACAGTTTATTTGGTTGAAACAAAATCAATGTATAAGAATATATGTATACTCTCTTGGACTAATATGACATGCAAGCAGAAATGCATAAAAAACAAACAAGTTTTTAACAAACATACGAGAAGATAGATGCTCTAGAAAAAACAATTTAAGAAAATTTCTTTATTTTGGTCTTTTCGCAGCATTTTGTTAAGCAACTGAAAAAAAAAATGTTTAAACTATACCAACGTCTAAATAGCATATTAAACCAATAAAAGCCCTCGTTATCTGTAAAATGGCTACTGCATATGGCCAAGGCAAGAATATTCTCTTCAGACGCCAAAGAGCATACATCAACTTGAATTTCCAAACAGCAAAAATATCAACAAACATAAAACCTTGTAGATTTCTGATTTCTTGCTTGTGTCGACATGGGTAGTGAAAATGGACCACTAATATCATGCAACATTTTCAAAGACTTTAATAGTCAAGACTACACAAGCGTCTGGTAGGATTTACCACGTTTATACTGTGAAAAGGACCTATTGAAGACAACTAAGTTTCCTCAACTCCTCTGAAACATTAAGAATAGTCTTTTCATTTTAAAGCCATCATCGTTAACATCATCTACCAGCATCATCAACGTCACTAGTTCTATCTTAAACACTTGGGATCAGTTAACAGAATAATCAGAAGTTTAGTATATATGCCAAATGGTAAATCCAATTAATTTCACAGATAGCATCCATTAAACAATATTTTAAGAAAATACCTTGTAAAAAGGTTTAGGATAATCAAAGTAATCAATTTACAATGTCAACCCATCACTAACACCTCCACAACCATGAAAAATCTTTATGACAACTGATAATGATTTGACATTACTAAAACTTACTTCGTAAAGTTAAGCATTACATGAAATAGCTTCTTCAGCTT